AGTATTTTGCAGCAGAGATTAAGATTTTCTTGACTGGTTTAGATATGGCAGATATGTAATAAATAGCTACATTGATGGATACTGGCTTTAAAATGTCTAGCAGGTATCTTGCCTGCCTTGCAACCTTCATAGAAAGAAGCAGCAATGGCCCTTTAAAGGTATTCAGTGATTTTTGGAGAGCACAGACTAATTACTGCCTAAGGGGTGTTACGTAGCCTGTACCGGGGTGCAGCCCAGGAGCCCTTTCTGTGTCCTGGAGCCCCAGGGTGCCCAGCCAAACCGGACAGCTGTCCTGCACCGCAGCAGGCACGCCTGGGGGCATGTCCAGAATTAACAAGGTGGGTCGTGATTGCAAAGCGGCCGGGTTTCTGCTGCTCGGAGAGTACTGGGGCTTCTGGAGCTGCCGCTCTCTGGGCGCTACGAGCATCGCCCAGAGGTTTGCAGGCAAACGCCTGTAGGCAGCTGCCACATTTCTGGACACAGTGACCTGGACGTGTGGTCCTGTGCTTTGGGACACTTGGCTTTGTCACACTCCATCTTTGGCAATCTGGCAGCCTGGAGATAATTTCCCACACATGGGACTAGCTGCCAGTGCTAGGGGGTAAAACCAGCCACGTTATGGGGGTCATAGGGGCAAGTTGTGGAGAGGATGGAGGAGAGGGCTCTGCAGGCTTGGTCTTGGGGCCGTGAGAGGGCTCTGGGTGAGAACGTGGCTCCTCCATGCATTGTTCCCATCTCCACCCATGCTGGAGCTGGTGAGGTTGCCTCAAGTGTGGAGGGAAACAGGGGAGGGTTTGGGAGAGCTAATTCAAGTGGGGAAACTGAGGCACGCTTCACCCAAGAGTACTGTGAGGGAGCGGGACCAAACTGGTACCCAGCTGCACAAGCATAGTGAAAGGAGCAATTTTCTGAGGGTTGGGGGGTAAAAATGAACCCCTGGTGTTGCGATGCCCTGGCTCCCAAGGACGCGCAAGAGGGTGATGGTGGAGGGGGGAGGCTGGGAAGCACTATGCCCTGCCCTACCTTCTCCCAGCCTTCGCCCCTGTAGGCAGCAGCCCCCAAAACCATCCTCCCTCCGCAGCCCAGGGCTTCCTGGGTGCTGCCGGAGACCCCACACTGGCCTGGGGGACACCCACAGGGAAAGGCTCTTCCTTGGCCCCTGCTTTGGGGCTGCGAAGCCAGGGTGGTGGCCTGCGCTGCTGCAAACTCGGAGCAAATGGGGCTTTGATGAACGACCTGTCCGCGTCGCGTGTTGCTGCCCTGCCCTCTGCGCTGTAGCCTCCCCTCCCAGCCGCTCTGCAGCCCTGACTGCCCAAGAAGCATCGTTTGGGGCTTCTCCACTGTGAAGGGACACCTTTGGGTTTAGGAAAGGAGCAGCTTGACCAAGCAGAAGCTGTGCTCTCCTGTCAATTGCTGTCCAGAAAGCCCCATCTAGTGGTATATTTTGTGATGAATTAATGCTGCGCCGTTAGGAATAAAAAATGACAAGTCACTTGATCCCCCTGGGTCCTGCAGGTACGCGGCAACTCTGGAGGCACTTATTTATTTGGCTGGGTTTTGGCTTGCTAAACTGAGCAAGGCTTGAGGGGCAGGGTTGGTACCAGCCCCCTTCAGGGGTATCCTGACCTTGTGTGACCTTGAGATCATCCCCAGCTCTCGTCCACAGCCTTTCTGCCTGCGAGAGGGGATGATGCTGGGCTGCCCCGTGGGATGCTGTGTGGCCGGACCCGATGGCATCAGCAGAGCCCTGGCAGAAGTTGCCATCGGGGCAGGATTGTGGGCACTGGCGCTTGGGGAATCCACAATCCAGGGTCTCTCGTCTCAGACGTGATGCAAACATCAGTGAGGACAGCGCAGGCGGCCGGAGTCGGTCACGGGACTTTGCAGGCACAGTTTTAGAAGGGGTGTGGAAATCAGGCTGCAGAATCAGCTCCATTGATTTTTTTTTTTTTATTTTCCTGGTGGCCTGATTCAGCATCTGCCAATGTAAAGCTTAGCTAGGACTCAGTTTGGCTTCTGTAAGGCGAGAAATAAATTTCATTGATCCAGGGTGCCTTTCTGCATCCCACTTCAATCGAACTAGTCCTGAAATGAGACAGGCAAGTAACCTGTAAAGTGCTGGCGGGGGGAGCCATGCGAAAAGACCCAGCCTGAGTCTGCTGTGATAGGAAGAGAGAGGTGGGATCCGATCTGAGGGAAGTCTTGGGAGCACTGCAAGCCCACCAGTGCTTCCTCAGAAAATTTTAGACATATTCTTCTGTAGATTGACTGGGGGGACATCCTAGAGCAACCGTGGACAGAAAAAATTCCCCAGACTTGTTGGGGCAGGTACAGCAGCAGGCTGGGAGCGGTGAGGCTGGCAGGGGTGTGCTCAGCACTCCTTGGACAGGGCCACGTCTGAGGCCGAGCACTGACGCTCCTCACTCAAGCTCATCGTGCAGTGCAGGCGTTCCCAGAGAAGGCGCCGTTTGCTAGCAACGCTTGAGCTTTTGGGCAAGCAGAAAGCAGGAGTTGCTCAGTTATCAGTGGGTGAGCTGAACTGGGAAGGCTTTAAAGGGAACAGTATGTTAAGGCTTGGGTCCTCTCTCAGAGCTTGTTGTTTCACCCAAAGGAGATGGTTCGAGCAATGTGAATTTCATACGGTTCATACGGTTTTGTATGGTTCATTTCAGTATGTTTGCTATGAGCCTGATCGTTGCGGTCAAGAACCCAAAATATCTGCCCTTCCTCTGCTGCAGGCAGCAATGGATGTGCTTAAACACAAGCACAGATGGTCATTCAGGTGCAATATGAAACCGCTGAGGTTTTGTCTCTTCTTTCCCCTTTCCTTCCCCCCTCACTACCAGGTACTTCTGTCCCCCACAGGACACTGTGGACATGTGCCCAGATACCTGCTCCCAGACTTTTCCCTCCTGTCTGGCCTTCTGGCGATTTGAACTCACCTCTCAGCCCTAGACTTCAGGGCACGTCTTGGACTAGTTTAACCTCCATGCTTTCCCCAATTCCCCCGCTCTCCCCAGGCGCAGCGGCCTGCTGCACGCTGTCCCGCAGCTGAAAATGCCCTCGTGCCCTTCCAACGCTCTCAGCCACGGCCAGTTTTATGTCGCACCAGCCTGAAGGCGTAGGCGCTTCCAGGGGTTTGCACACGCTTGATTGAAGAGAAGCAGGACTGTGCTCCGCAGCAGGAACAACTGCACCGAGGTGACCTTGAGCCAGGCTGCTGTGCCACACTGCCGGGGAAAAGAGCCTCGCCGTGCCCCTCCGTGGGGCTCCAGCTGCGGCGGGGAGCGGGCACAACCAGCACCGGCTTTAAGTAACTGTATTTGTGCACGTTAAAGCTCTGTGCCCTGGCTGCGTAGGCATGGGCTCCCACTCAACACTCGCTGAGAGGTGGGCAAATTGCAACACCACCTTCTGATGATTTTAAGGAGGGCACATAATCAAAACACGAACAGAAACAGGAGCAAACAGCCTCTGCTGAAGCAGAAGTAGCCGCTGAAAAACAGCAGCAGCAAAGACAACTCGTACTTGGTATTTATGTCTAAAGGTGAAGCACGCATTCTACCAGACCGACTGTAGGGAGAAAGAAGGGCAAGTGAAGAAAACCAAACCTGTGTGTGTGGGTACGTGGGGTAGTGCTGGGACAGGAAGGCAAAGGGAAGGGGACAGTAAAGTACTAACTGCAGAAAATTTAGAAATCAGTTAAATTTGAGACTACGAGTCTGCACTGTGTGCTGAGTAACTGCGTGACACTTCAGGGCAAAATAACAGCTTTAGTTGTGTTCTTAGGTTAACTTACTTGGATTTATTTGAACTTTGAATCTGAACTTCCTGGATTCATAGTTTTAGGGATGATTAGAATAAAATCTACAGAAGCTATTATCATCTAGCACGCCTGAGACTCCTCTAGCACATAATACAAGGCCAACTGTCTACATCTGCTATAACCTATCCTCACACAACTGCTCGCGACTCCTTGGCTTGCTGACCACTAATTTTTAAGCATGTGAGTAAAAATCGCAGTATTTTACTCAAACAGGGTTGTTTAATATGTGCGTACAGCTGACACCAAAAGCAGGGGGGGGGGAAGATGGGTGTAAATCAAATTATTCAGCCTTTAATTTGTTGTGTTTTGACAAACATTTATTAACACAAATCTCAGCAACAAAATTTTTTATTTCAGTATTTTCAACCAGAAGGAATGTTACAGCTCTACACCACGAAGCCTGCATGATACACACTTCTTGTTTACCCTATTTCCACACTGCTTTGTGTATCAAACATACAGAAACAATCTGTATAAACGGCTCCACCATCTCCACTTCTCAGACAGCACAGCCCAAAAAACCTGTTAGCCTGCTTCACTCCCCCTTAAATTATTCCATCTGTAAAGCACAAATAACAAAATATATTTTTGCTTCTAAGAGCTTCACTTATCTGCAGAAAAATAGAACTGCTTAAGAGTGAGCCAGTTAGATTACGAAAGGGTCCAAGCACACACCCGCACATTCTGGACCTCCCAAATTTGTGAGGAGGAAGCATTCATAATTTGATCCAACTAAAAAGGAGGCAGATAGTGTTCAAGGAAAGGAGATCCACCCTATCCAAAAATACTGAATGCCTTCTCATTCTTCTCTCTAGAGCAGGATGAGGAGGACAGAGCTGCAGCTATGAAACATTTCTCTAAGTACTGGGACATATTAAGAGTGAACCTTTCAAACACTGCAACATTTCAGAACAAAACCTAAAAGGCTTTTTTTTTTTCTCCAAGATGTAGTGAAAACAGCAAACAGAGCTTGAATATCCACAGCACAAACCGGAAAACAAAGGGAGTTCATTTGATCTACAGTGCTTTTGTTAAGGTATTCAGAGACTTTAGTGCATACTTTTTAGAACTAAGCTTGGAAACTATATTCCATTTTTCATTTTATTAGAAAACTAAATTGTATGAGGCAAAGAAACATTAGATCAAACACACCACAGTGAAAACATGGCACTGACAAGGCGTTTAACCCAACCATTATCACAAACTCTGATGCAGGATTCTCTATTGCTTTCAGTCAAGTATACATCATTTCTGCCATGTGAGACATTTTCTTGGGAATATATAAGTAGTATTCCATGTATCCCGAAAGATCTTCAATAGTCACGTCATCCACAAAGGCTCGAGCTTGCTCAGAACAAGACCTAGGAGAACTCGATGAGGCTGTCCCACAAGGGGATCTATTTTGAAGAGACTGGGCATGGGCTCCTAGGACTGCCTTTTCGCACTCTGACAGGACGCTCCGTAAGCCAGAGAAAGAGTACACCTCCATGGTTCGCCACTGTTTGCACTGGCATTTCTTGTCCGTACAAGGGCACTGCTTGCTGTTGCTAAGCATGGATAAGGACTGGAAATCCGAGGTTTGGCTAGAATGCAAGCTAGTTTCAAAGGATGAGGAGAGAGCAGGGTAATTCTCTCTTGACTTCTCCAAAGGCTCTTCGGTGGTAAAAGCTTCCAAGGGTTCAGTTCTGTCATCACTGGCCTCAAAGTGAGAATCGTGCCTGTCCTTCGTACCGTGTTCTGCTGTAACGAAAACGTCTGAACTGATGTTACCCTTTGACGTGTCTGCCTGCGTTTTGTGTTTCAGCTGGTTGTTGGCTTTCATATTGCAATACGTAAACTTGGGAGGATGCAGGACGGGAGACTTAGAGCGTCTGCGACGTGGGACTCTTGCCGATCCTCTGGAAGGCTTTCGCACACACCTGCAGGGTTGTAACAGGCGAGCAAGTAGGTAACTCCAGACTCTACACCATAGCTCAATAAGCTCTAAAATGTGGCTAAAAACATTTTAGAGGATTAGATTTAGAGGATTTTCTGCTTAGAAAAAACAGGTGAGTGGTTGGTCACAATCTCTGACAGGAACAGTGGAGGAGAAGAAACTGGGGCTCCCCCAAAGGAAAGACACGTACAAACAGCCCTCATTTAAAGGTACTTCCCCCCCAAATCTTTCGTGTTAAGCAAATGATGCTTTGTCACCCCAAACTGAACTGTAGTGCAGAACCTGGGCATCAGTTGGAGCTGCCGACAGAACTGCACCGAATATCCAGGTACTTGCAATATAGAAACAACACAAGAAAGATGTGAGAGGGGGCTGCAAAGGTGCAAGACTTGAAGAAAAGGACTTCTGAGGAAGTCAGCGGAAAATAAAGTTTTAGGTACCCTCTTCAAGAGAAGAGGCAATTTTTTTTTTTAAAGTCTGATGAAAGCCCCTTAAAAAACATCAAACAGTTACAGTAAAGTTTTGTAATAGAAAGAAAAGATATGTTGAAGCAACTAATTAACAACTTTCATTGGAAACCGTATGCAAGTGTTAAATGCCTCAAACCAGAAACAAATGCACAGTGCCGAACATTATGTTTTACCCATGCCACGCTTCCTTTGAGCAGCCAGTCTGCTGCTTGGCTCCATCCATGGCTGCTCTTGTCGGTGTTCTTAGAATCGTCCCGTCACCCACAGCCAGAGCTGCCATACATCTGAGTAAAAAGGGAAATGCCATGTTACAGCAGTGTCTGAACACACCACTTCAGAGGTCATGATTCAGCTTATTCACTTTAGATGCTTAGCTAAGACATTTAAGTTTGCAGCCTTGGTTTCCTCTATAGTCAGTGGTTAGGAACAGGATATTACAGAGATTTGTTTAACTGCTCTTACTATACTGACCTCAGTCAAGTGTCTAAAGATAGGCGAGATGAAACGAAAGGAGGCCAAAATGCCCAGAGGCTGATGTCATGCCCTATTTGTACCCAAATGACACAGTAAAGGAACGTAAACTCCAGTTCCAAATGTTCTTGTCAGACAATAGTTGTTAAAGATAGACTCATCTAAAATGCAAAGTCAGGAACCCATAGCAGCAGGCTGAGTGGAGTCAATGGAGAAGTGAATGAGGTACAACAGACAAGGACAGATTACTAATTTATTTCTCATTAAATTTCCCAGATAGACATGGAATGAAAAAAACTCCTGGCCCTGGAGGTCCGGACAACAAACATAAATGCCTTGGCACACAAATCTGTATTTATGATGGTGTGATCCGAATCACAGGGTAGGGAATTGTCAGAAATGAGGCTGAAATTCTAGCAGAACAGCCCCAGTACTCTTCCCAAAGTTGATCTTAAGGGATTAATCACAAGACTTGAGCTGTTCAAAATACATGCCTGCAAAACAAGAATTTTTTATGCCTAAGAAGATATCATCAGGAATCAACGAGAATTCCACTTAGTCTGTCACTGGCAATACATCAAGAGCAGTATGCTTAATAAGCATAATTCCTCGTTAGAGTGCAGCTGGTTTTTTCCACATTTAACACAAGACTTCCTGAAGTAGCTGAAACGAGTAGCAAAGTAGAACAGATTTTAACAGGCAGGGGAAGTCATGAGTTCACAATATTGATGGCTATGGAGATGAATTCACAAGATAACATTAATTATCAATACAAAGCTTTCTCTTGTGTCTCTGAGTTCCCAAAAGACCTCAAGTGAGCTACCTCACAAAGTATTAGACTGCATGATTTTATTAACTCCTACTTTTAAGGAAGACACTTACACTACATATTGTCAGTATACCCAGTGTGTTATGGAATACATTTTTAGTATAAGAATGTCTGCAGACAATTTACTTTACAAAATCCCCTGAAATCAGAAATGATCAGCGCTTCAAGACCAGGTTGGACAGGGCTGTGAGCAACCTGATCTAGTTAGCAGTGTCCCTGCTCACTGCAGGGGGGTTGGACTAGATGACCTCTAGGGGTCCCTTCCAACCCAAAACATTCTAAGATTCATATTTAGCTTGACGATGTCCAGTGAGACTGGGCTCTCCAGCACACTATGAAGTGTTGGTGATGTCCTTCAGACGCTTTCCAAGCAAATCTTCATGCTTTATAATAAAGGCTGATAATGTGGCTGAAGACAAGAGCGTTTACATGAACAGACAAACCATTCCACAATCACACAAGGTATCACACAAGGTGACTCTGGCTACCCCAACAGTTAAAGAGTGGGTTCACTGCTTTGGGCAAGTCATTTCATGTTTTCATATGGTCACTGTGTAATTTCAGTTGGATATTGTGTCAAAATTAATCAGTGATAAAGCACTGCTTTGCCTATGAGACAGCCATAAAGACTGCATTTTATCTGAAGCGATGCTGCTGTTTCCTCTTGGAAAGTAAGGAACCTTTCACCAAGTGACATTTGTTTTGAGATCCAAAATAACAGAAAGCAAATACAAACATGTAATAAGGAACTGACAAATTAGACCGTCCTTTTTGTTGCTCACTTACCCTGCTGCATCCACTCTCAGCTTTTTGAAAGCCGTTTGCAGGCTCTCTTCCTCTTCATCTTTAGCTTCCAAGTCCATTGATGGGCTCTCAGCGTGTCACCAACTGTGCCATATAGAATAAACTGAAATACAGAAATCAGGATTTGATATTGCGGTTTGAACACGCGTTCAGAACTGAAATGACAGGCACGATGGATGCTTGCTCTTCTGTGGGCAATCTTACTGCCGTCTGACCAGACCTGCCCAGTACTTTTCACTGTGAACTCCAAACTCTGCTTTACTCAGAACAGGCGCAGCCTGTGTCAAAACCAATGAAACCCCCCCAACGAATAGACGATATATGTTCTGCCACCTAGAACAACTTCAATTCGA